TTGCCTGACCCGGTCCCATGGCAGAGACACGGCGGCTAGGGAGTGAAGGCAGGGAATTCGTACTCATTTATCTCCCTCTGTTTTGCCTCGGCAGAGTACAGCATTTCAGCAGCTGCCATTGCCATCTTCAGTGTTGGCTTTGCAATCATTGGAACCATCTGCATCCTCTTATCCTTTAGGAAAAAGATGGATTATCTCCTGAAGCCGGCCTCGATGTTCTACACCTTTGCAGGTAGGCCGTTTGGTAAGACTTAAAAGAGATGCGTGCCCTGAGATCGATAGAGAGGCGCCATGAAGGCTCCCTTCATCTCCTTGCCACATGAAGATGGAAAATTCCATCAATGAACCTCATTTTACTGAGCTCTGAAAATGTGCCTGATGAATAGGAGACAGGTACCCACGTTGCAGTCTGGGAGGCCATCCTGTGGGAGTGTATCTGAAAGGTTTGAACTCTGTAGAATTACCAGGAAAAATGGACTCAGAGAGGTAGCCATGTTAGTCTGTGTCCTAGGGTGGATACGCACATCAGTCTCAGGGCCAGGGCATTAGGCCTCTAAGGCCTCTAAAAGGATACTCCTGTGTGTGTATCTGTTCCAGTGGTTCAGGGCCAATAACCATACCTCATCTCTATGAGGCAATCAGGCTTAGTGACCACAGTCAATAATCACACCCCCTTCCCTCAGGACAGTGAGGCCTAGCAACCAGAGTCTCAGGGTAAATATCAATGCCTTTGCGCAAGGCAGCATGGCCTAGCAGCAGGCGTCAATGGCAACAGTTGTAGCATCCCCTTTGGGGTTAATGGGAATGGGGACTCAGCCCCACCCTCTCCATCAGGTCCTAGCCCAGGGCCCTGTCAGTGATGTAGTGATCCACCATTAGGGTTGCCAGGTGTCCGGTATTAAACCAGAGAATCTGGTATTTTCACCTCCTGTCTGGTAATAAATTCAGAAAATACCGGACACCTAAAATGTCTGGTATTTTCTGATTTTTTTTTTTTTTTCCCATCCAGAAGGCGAAAATCCCAGGTGCTTATTGGGTTCCGCAGGGGAGCTGTCTGGCCTGGTGCAGGGAGGCAAGAGGGCCACCTGCTAGGGTCAAAAAGCCTCAAAAGCGTTTCTTAAAGGGGCCATGCTGTTTTTTTGTGTTTTTTATTTTTTTTGCTTAACAACTTTTGGGGTCCTTTTTCCTTAAGAACTCTCGGGGTCCTTTCTTTTTTTTTTTGTTCGGTATTTTTTTAGAAACCATATGGCAACCCTATCCACCATAGCTCAGCAGGGAATCCACCCAAAACATGCCAAGCTTTTGGGGGCATAACCCCCTGCCCTGGGCTACTTCCTACCAGACTTCCCGTTACAGCCTTCTTCACTGCTTTCCTCTGGACTGGGAGTTTCTCTGGCCGTTCCTCATTGACTGGCCTCTGCAGTTTGGTCCATCCACAGCTCTTCCTCTGGAGCTCCAACAGCGCCTCCTTCCCCAGCAGCAGCCAGCCCAGATTGAGCCGCTCCACCAGCCTTTATAGATAGCCTCCAGATGGAGCATGCCCAGCAGGCCTGTGGGGTGGGGCTCTCTCAGCTAGGTAACTCTGGTTAACCCTTGCAGGTCCAGTGCAGGGTTGGTACACCCTGTCTCTGTCTGCAACTTTAAAAACAACGAACAGTCCTGTGGTCTAGAGTGTAGACCACTCTGGTGGTCCTGTGGTAGAGTGTGTCTAGACTACAGGGTTTTATCGACAAAAGTGGATGTTTGTCGACAAAACTATACCTGCATCTACACTACCACCGAGTTCTGTCGACAGAACACAGCAGTTTTGTCAACGGTGGTAAACCTCATTCTACGAGGAATAACGCCTTTTGTCAACAGAGTTCTGTCGACAAAAGGCACTATTGCATCCACACTGTGCTTTTTCAAAAGAGAACGTCTAGACTCTCTGTCAAAAAATCGGCTTGCTTTGTCAACAGAACTGGCTGTAATCTAGACGCTCTTTGTTGATGGAGGCTTTGTCGACAGTATCTGTTGACAAAGCTTCTGTCGACTCAAGCCTGTAGTCTAGACGTACCCTTAGAGACTAACAATGCATTTGTTGCTGAGGTGCCACAGGACTGCTCATAGCTTTTTAGGAAAATTGGGCATTTCTAAAATATTCCCCATTAGGCCCTGACTGGAAGGAACATGTGGGAGATTCTAGGGTCACAAACCTCTCTAGGTGACTCTGACCGCCAGAGCATCACATCCCCAGCGCAAAATTGACGTAGGAAGAGGTGTCACTGAGGTTGCCCTGTTCTTGGTAAGGCATTTTCTTTTCCCTGGAAATGGATCATTTCCATGCCAAACTATGCAGAGCTAAGCTCTTATCAGTCTGGGATTGGTCCCTTTATCTCAGTGCAACCATATTAGCAGGGAGTGGCTTGGTAAAACCTCACATTTTTTATTATACAAATAGGCTGAAGCTACTTACCAGGCCAAACTCCTATCACAGCATTCCTGATCTGTTCGGGCACTGTTTTACTCAAGAAGGCAAGGGGGGATAGAGAATAAGACAGAGAATATTTTATTGACTCTCTATAAAACCATGGTACGCCCACGTCCTGAATACTGCATACATATGTCAAAAAAGACATATTGGCATTGGAAAAGGTTCAGAAGAGGGCAACAAATATGATTAGGGGGTTTGGAACGGGTCCCATTGTACGAAGAGAGATTAAAAAGGCTTGGACTTTTCATCTTAGAAAAGAGGAGACTAAGGGGGGGTATGATAGAGGTCTCTAAAATCATGACTGTTGTGGAAAAAGCAAATAAGGAAACGTTATTTACTTATTCCCACAATATAAGAACTAGGGGTCACCAAATGAAATTGATGGGCAGCAGGTTCAAAACAAACCAAGGGAAGTTTTTCTTCACTCAGCACACAGTCAACCTGTGGAACTCCTTGCCAGAGGATGTGGTGGAGACTAGGACTTTAACAGGGTTCAAAAAAGAGCTAGATAGATTCATGGAGATTAGATCCACCAATGGCTATTAGCCAGGATGGGTAGGAGTAGTGTCCTAGCCTCTGTTTGTCTGGAAGTGGATGACAGGAGAGGGATCACTTGATGATTACCTGTTGTGTTCCTTCCCTGTGGGGCAACTGGTATTGGCCACTGCTGACAGACAGGATATTGGGCAAGATGGACCTTGGTCTGACCTAGTATGGCCGTTCTTATGTTCTCTTGTTCTTATTTCTCCAGGCCTCTGCATGATCATCTCTGTGGAAGTCATGAGGCAGTCTGTGAAAAGAATGATCGACAGCAAGGAGACTATCTGGATTGAATATTATTATTCCTGGTCTTTTGCCTGCGCCTGCGCCTCTTTTGTCCTGCTCTTCATCTGTGGGATCGCCCTCCTACTAATCTCCTTGCCTCGCTTCCCACAGAATCCGTGGGAGAGTTGTATGGATGCAGAACCAGAGCACTAAATGCCTTCATCGAGGCGCACTTACTGATGCAATCGCGGAAAGTGCGATAAAAGAATCGAAACCTTTTCTGTAACATATCAGGATGGTGGGATATGAAGACAAAAAGTGTCCTTAGTTAAAACTGGGTTATTGAACCAAAGGGAAGTTCTGTACTAATTATTGGTGGGTAGTTTTTTTTAAAGTGTGAGGACCAGCAGTTTGGGTGACTCAACGTGAACCCTCAGTCCACTGAATGCTGGGAGAGGTCATTTGTGATTTGGGAACACATTCTGCAAGGGCAGTTGAGAGGAAGCAAGAGAACACTACAGGTTGAACCTCTCTAGTCTGGCACCCTTGGGACCTGTCAGGCTCTGAACTAGAGAATTTTCTGGACCACGGAAGGTCGTTACTGCCTAGCAGCATTACCTACATTTCCACTGTTTACTGGGCTGAGAGGGGACATTTAGGGGTAAATTAGAGCTAAGTAGCAGCACAGAGCACTGACAGCCAAGTCTGGTGGCTGTAAACAAACCTTATGGGACTGCGGGAAACATGGCCACACCCATGGAAAATGGACATCTAGATAACTAAAATCATGCCAGACCATGGATGTTTCTGGACCAGAGAGTGCTGGACTACAGAGGTTCAACCTATAGATAGTATAATGAAAAGGTGCATGTTCTAGTGGTTAGAGCACCAGACTGGAATTGGGAGAACTAGGTTGAATGACTGGCTTGGCCACAGACTCACTATGGAACTTTTGGCTTCTTTGTGAGTCAGTTTCCCCATCAGTACACTGAGAATTTTGCTTCTCTATCTCACTGCCAGGATGTGGGGTTGCTATCTGTACATAATTTGGAGCTCCTTCCATAGGAAGTGCTGCAAGAGGTTTAGGGACAAAAGTCGACATTACAAATGTTGCCCTTCCCCGGCCCCACAAAGCTCTACAAATTATTTTGTTCTGCTGATCCAAGCACTTAAAAGTCCTATGACTCCTGGTTGTATTGGAATGCGAATGGCAAAGCCACGCAAGTACCGACCTGTAGGGACAACGCTTTCTTTTAATAAAGAGATGGAATCCTCCAATGAGGTTCGATTTCTGGTTTCAGGAGAGTTGCTTTTGGAGATGAACTATACAAGTGTCTGCCTCTCTGTAACGTCCTGATCTGGACATAGAACGTTTGTTGGAACAGCCACGTGATGCTTCTGTTTTGCAAAAGTATTGTAAAGCAAGAGCCCTCTCATGTAGGGGGTCTCAAACTCAATTTACTTTAGGGCCAGAGCCAGTCCTCAAATCCTCCTAGTGGTCTAGCAGACACCCCCGATCTGGCACGGTGTCTCAGTGCACCCCCTCCATGTCCCTTGACCCTGCTTGCCATACCTGGGTGATTTACCACCCCCACCCCCTGAGGCCCACCGCTGCCACCATCGGCGTTGCCACAGGTCTGGAGAAGCTTCTGGTGGAGAAGAGCAGAGGCTACTGCATCTCTGTGCTTCCATGCGACTCCTGCTGCCACGGTGAGCGCAGAGAGGTCCAACTTCTGCTACCTTGTGTGCCAGGCCCTGAGGCCACTTCCCTCTGGGGAGAGGGCTTGAGAGAAGGGATGCAAAGGGAGGGAGAGGGCAGAGCAGGTGTGGGAAGAGGTGATGTGGAGGCAGAGCAGGGGCTGGGCTTCTACCGTTTTTTTTAAAAAAAATTTCCCCCGTTTTCCAATGGAAAAAAAAAAAGCAGGGTCGGCTTTAGGCCGAGTCGCCCGATTCCCCCAAATCAGGCCCTGTGCCTAAAGCCAGAGGGCCCCGCGCCCTAAACTTGGAAGCATGCTGGAGGGCCGGGCACACTGCAGGAGGGGGCGTCGGCCTCAGAGGAGGAGCGCGGCGGCTTCTGTGCACCGCAGAAGGGGGGTTGGCTGGAAGGCAGGACTCTGCCCTGTAGCTGGGGATCTAAAGGGGCTGTGAGTTGTTTCTGTGTGTGCTGGTTTTTGGGGGGTATTTTTTGCTCAATCAAAATTTGTATGTGGTTTTTTTGGTCACCGCAAAAATGCCAGCTGCCGGGGCCCCGTCGAAACGGTTCGAATTGGGCCCTGCACTTCCTAAAACCGGCCCTGAAAAAAAGGGTTGTAAGTTCAAAAGTGAGAAAAAGTGGAAGGAGGAGGGAAAGTCTCTCGCACCTTCTACTTTTTTCCACTGGGCAAGTATGAAAGAAATGTTTTTTAAAAAGCTAAAGAGAGAAAGAGCATTAGAAATGTTACTTTCACTCCTTTAATGGTGTAAGCCCCTTGAAAATGGCCTGGGAAGAGAGCAGGGAACATTTAAAACAGTGGTCCCCAATGTGGTGCGTGGTGCTGGCCCTGGGTACATAGCACAGGGCCGGCGCCAGTCCCAGGCGCGCAGAACATGGGCGGCCCTGCCCCCGGGCACGCTGTACATGGGCGATGCCGACCCCAGGCACACGGCGTATGGGCAGTGCTGGCCCCTTGGCACGCAGCACAGGCGTGGCGCTGGCTCCTGGGCTTGCAGCACAGGAGTGGTGCCGCCCCTGGGAGTGCGGCACATGGGTGGTGGCGGAACTGAGCACGCGGTGCATGTGCGGCCCTGCCCCCTGGCGGGTGTGTGGCCCCGCCCCCGGGTGCCGAGCACGTGAGTGGCCCCACCCCCGGGTGCCCGGCAGCCCCAAAAGGTTGGGGTCCACTAATTTAAAAACATCCAGGAATGAGGAATTTCTGACTGCTTTGAGGCTAGGAGAATTTTTTTAATTATTACGATTTGGTACACGTTTTTGAAAGGAAACATGTCAAAACCATTTTGTCACGCTATGTTTTCATTTTTCCACAACAGCTGATTGTTTTGACCAAAATTCCCTGTGCAGAACATTTCATCCAGGGCCTCTTATTCCAGGTGCTTGCCTCAGCATTTCTGATAAGGCCTAGTGGTCTGAGCACGCACCTTCTCGGTGCCAGGAAATTCCCATCGAGCCATGGAGATGAAAGCTCCATTTAGACACCAAGCCCCCATTGATTTTGGTGGGAGTGAAGCACCTACCCTAGGGAGTTAACCTAACCTAGCAATAAGCTAAGCACTTCCGGGCCTCAGAGCATGGGTCAGCTGAATTCCACCAGAGTGAAGTTGGAGTCCCTCAGGGATAGGAAAGAGGCTGTTACCATTATATCTGTTTCCCCACCTCTGTAATGGGGCAGTAATTGCACCGATTTTTGTGAGGCTGCGTTAATATTTGTCTAGGACTTTGATTCAGGAAAGTGCTAAGTGTTACGTAGTGTAATTGTTATAGAGTGTTGGGATTGAGCAGCGTGAGGTGCATTTTGGTGCTAAAATGAAGGATAATCCTTGTTTTGAGGGACACTGACAGCTGCCACTGAATAACGGTGATCCTACCAAATGACATCAACATTTCACGCTGCTCCTTGTCTCCCTTCTGAACACCACCCCGGAGAAAGCAAGAGCAGTTTTTTAGAAAGAGGGCACATGCCAGACAAGAGGGAAAGGAATCACTTTAGATAACTCATAAGAAAAACATGGTACAGTCCAAACTCAGGTGTCTAAACCCCGGCAGAGAAATGGATCAGTTTGGGCAAAAGATTTAGGGCGAGTGAGGTAATTTCCATTGTAGACACTGCAGCAGGGTCAGACCCACTCCTGGGTCCCAGACCCCTGCTCTGTCCACAGCCCTGCAGTCTCACTTGCCCTTTCCAGCATTTTGGGGTTCTGCCCCTTGGCTAAACAGGTATTGGGGCAGACACCCTGGTCAGCCTGGGCTGAATAACCAGTCCTCCTCTGTCACTGGCAGGCTTCTCAGGCTGCTGGGGGAAGGGAGCCCAAAAACTCCCTGTGAGAACCCCTCACTTTCCGCGTCTATTCTGACAGAGTTGACGTTCTGCTTTTCAGCTTCTCTGTCTCTTCCCTCCTCCTCCTCCTCCAAATTCCTCTTCCTCCCTCCCCCCACAAGGAAGGTTTTTAAAGAGGTCTGGTGGCAGCCTGAAGTCAGCTCGCCAGGCCCTTCATCAATTTATAGCCGCCCTGTCTCAGCTGCCCCTGATTAGCCAGGGCTGTTTCTGTTTTTCAGAGCTGCCTTTCTCCCCTTCCATCAAGCCCTTTAACCTGCCCCTTCACAACACCCAGCAGAGAACAAATGAGTGTTTGGACACCTGCCGTTTGGTTGCATGGTGCTGGAACCTTAGAATCTCGTCTTCCATTCTGAGTTCCGCTGGGTAACGTCGAGTGCCTGTAGCAAAGACACACACCTGTCTTGCAGGAGAGGTGAAACGCCCCTCGGTCTCCTGAAAAGGCCTGTTGGCTGTCCTCTTCCAAGCTCACACGTTTATTCACCACCATCTTGTAATTGTTCTTGGGTGAAAAAGTGTCTTTAGATTACTGTCAGTCAGACACAACTTGCCCAATGGTCATGTCATTGTACATTTCCACCAGCCCAACATAGGAAGCCATGTGTGCTGAAGAAAGAGCAGAACCCTTGGGGTGGGGTGGGGGGGAGCAGTTCCCTTAATGACAGGCCCTGGTGATTGTGTGATAATTAACCAAGAGCCTGATCCAAAGCTTAATGAGGTCAGTAGAGCCTATGGGGTTCAGACTGGATCCAAAGCAAACACAAAATGGGTTAGCCTCTTTTGTGCCCACTTTGCACAGGTGTAAATGCCAAAATGCAGTGGCTATTAGCCAGGATGGGCAAGGACGGTGTCGCTAACCTCTGTTTGTCAGAAGCTGGGAATAAGCAACTGGGGACGGTTCACTCGATGACTCCCTGCTCAGTTCCCTCCCTCTGGGGCATCTGGCATTGGCTACTGGGCTAGATGGATCTTTGGTCTGACCCGGTAGGACCATTCTTATGTTTTTAATACAAGACAGTGAAGAATTAGACCCGTCACCCAGTAAATTAAAAAAGCAAAGCTAGATCCCTTTTCTAAACCTCTCGAAGCTTTATTTTCTATCCACTCCCTCTTAAGGGACTTATTCATAATTTATTATTTACACATATTACCTGCAATGCTGAGACTGAAGCGTGTGTATGGCTTCATTTTTCTTTTCTCAGCTCTTAATAATCATTGCCGAGGGACTTCTCCATTAATTCAGTTGTTGGTATTCGCCATGGGAAACAGCAGCTCTTAGTACAAGTCTCTTCTTTTATCTCCAAACCTCCCTGCCAGGGATGTAGGCATGTGCTGCAAGAAAAGTTAATAAAAGCAATTAGCCTCTATGCAGAGAAAACAAAGTCTACAGTTGGCAGGATGGAAGGAAAAGGGACATTGACCAATCTGAGTTTTCATTCTCTCAGCTGAGCTAGTGGCAGGAATTCACCCACGGATATTATTACATAAGAACAGCTGTACTGGGTCAGACCAAAGGTCCATCTAGCCCAGGAGCCTGTCTGCCGACAGTGGCCAATGCCAGATGCCCCAGAGAGCGTATTATTTATGCAACATGAAAATGTGCAGAGAGTGTTAGTACTGGAAGGCAATCATCATCATCGAGAGAGAGAGAAGAGGGAATCCCTGAACTAAAGAATTCACTTATTAACAGCATGGACAAGCACGATGCAAACAGAGCAGGAGCAAAATAATGTGCACCCACCTATAGGATGTTCAAAAATGGTGACTTAGGAGCAAGTGAATTGATCTTAACACAAGAAAATATCGAGTTTTGGTCGTGGCTAAGCTACAGACTCACTGAATGGCCTCGCCTTTAGGCCTACCTCACCAAAAAAACCCTCCTTTTGTTACACTATGAAATGTTTCCCCAGAGTGTTGTGCACACTCTCCCTGGATTGAATCTAGGATTGAACAAAGACTGTGAATGGCTAGCCCACTACAAAAGCAGTTTCTCCTCTCTTGGTGTTCACACCTTCACATCAGCTGCTAGAAGAGGGCCTCACCCTCCCTCCTGTCCTGCCTCTTGATTGCTACTCCCTTCTTTTCATGGGCCTGTATATTTATACCTGCCTCTGGAATTTCCACTACGTGTAGCTAACGAAGTGGGTCTTTGCCCACGAAAGCTTATGCTCCAATAAATCTATAAAGTGCCACAGGACTCCTCGTTGCTTATGCAGATTCAGACTAACATGGCTACTCC